ACCCCCCAAAGAGAGCCAACTTCACTAGGTCTCTTCTGTACTGCTGATCTCTGTGGTGAAGCTTATAGCGCTCACAAATTTAATTATGATGCGAGAACTAGCTCTCAAAACTTTTATTGCCCTAGGAAATTAGCAATTACATAGCCTATCACTTTAACCTGTTGTTCTGTTAAAACAGTTTTCAGTTACCTTATTCTTTTCTCCCACTTTACCTTTTCTCTCTCTGCTCCCAATATCCACCCTCTTGGTTTCAGTTTAAGGGACTCAGTTTCAGTGTGTTCATGTCTTTTTCTTTAGTATTATTTTCCTAAGCAAACATGCTTCAAATCCTTAAGCAGTGGAAATATATTGATAGGCTGAAAAAACAAAGAAGGAAAGCAAAGTATGCTTTCAACGTTTCTGTAGCTTTGTAAACAGTGAGAGGTCACACTATCGTCAGGGAGTCAACCCTAGTAGGAGAGCTTATTTGTGTATGTGGCATCTTTTACAAAAAGAAACTATAGCAGGCTCTCTCGGTTCGGGGCTCTTGGCGCCGCCCAGTGGAGGGAAGCGCCCTTCCACCCCATTCCTGTCAGTTGGCATTGTCAAGTGGATCCCAAGAAACGTTCAAATTAAATATGATAGGAAGAAGCACCAGTTCCAAGTTCACTATAATGTATAAGTGTGTTTCTTCAAAGTTCAGTTCTGTTTTTTTTTTAACTGATGCTCCAGTTTAACACAATCCCAAATACCAAATCTTGATTGTAAAAGAGGACCACTGAGAGTGTATTAAGAACAGAACTTGTAAAAATATGCGAATGTTTGAATCATTCTCTGCAGTGGGGAGGGAGCATCTTTAGTGGTGGTCGGGACTGATGTGTCCTTCAGAGCCAGGAAGGAAAAGTTCTTTATTAATCATAGTTGGCAAAAAACTGCTTTCTCTGCAGGAATTCCAAAATCTTCCAAAAATTAAAGAATTCTCTTTCTTCCTTTGTTGTTTATAAGAAAATGAAGACCTGAAAGTGGAAGATCATTTTCAAACCTATGTCAGTTTAGGGACTATATTTCTTTGTATGTTAAATTCAATGGGAAACTGAGATTAAGCCAGTTAAGGCATTTCCTTTCCTATATGTGGAATTGAAAATGTGACTGATCTGCACCCTGTTCTATTTCTAAACTTTGATTTTTAAACGAAAAGTTAATTATGCTTGCTCTGCTAGAAAGTGCATGACTTCTTGGGTATAAACATCATGTATACTCTCAGGGAAAAAATGGCAAAAGAGGAATGTGTCTGGGTAAAAAAGAACTGAGGAAAGTTAAAAAACAAAACCCCAGCTGTGAAGAATTTTTTCATTAAGTTTGCCATCTAGTCTTTGAGTTCCTCTTTTGGATCTTCAGGCCGCTACTAGCATTTCCTCTCTGGCAGGGACCCCCAAATAGGACCTTGATAATAAGCAAGGTCGTATTTTCCCCTCACAGTTGTGGCTCCCCAAAGCTAATATCCTAACATCCCACCCCAAGAAATCTACGATCTTAACCTTTTCTTAAGAAAAGCTCATCTGAGACATTCACAAGGTGGGGCCTACTGGGCTTCCGTTTGCTTGGCTTTAGAGTTTTCACAAAATGAACAGTCCGCCCGCGGGGGAGGGGGAACTGTACTTCCACCTTCTCTCCCTTTCTTTTTAGATTTCATTTTTTCGTAGGGTCACATTTCTGTCTCCCCTGCTAATGTTGTGAATTATTGCAAGCAAAAAATCCTGTCGAACCGCCCAACACAAGCTGTGAGATCAGCCTTTTGAGCTCTTGAGTCATTTTAAGCGTTGGAACAAAACAAAAAACAGGCCTAAATGAATTATTTATCAAGGTCGAGAATAATTGATTTGCGCAGTGCCGGCAGTTCTGGATCTTAAATTTGTTTTCTCCCCCTCCCCACTTCCCACCCAGAACAGGCAGCGAGGGAAATGCGGGTTGGAGCCCCGGGTCTGGGAGGAAACCTCCGTCGGGAAGTTGGTGGGTGATGTCTTAATGAGAAGAACCCGAATTGATATTTGAAGGGAGAAGAACGTGTAGCGTCCGCCTGCAGTTTCAGGCAGCCCCAGCGCCCTTCCTACAGAAGCCGACTGTGCCAGGCGTGCCGGGGGCCCGGCCCTGTGGGCGGTACACTGCAGCCTTCGATAAGAGAGATGCCCTCTTAAGTCCCAGGCCCTTGATTCCGAAATCCCGGGGCGCGAGGCCGAAGCCCGGCCTGCAGGCTCCCAGGAGGATCTGCCTGGCCGGTGCGCAGTTCTCGCTCCAAAGGCGGCTGATCCAACTACGCTCCAGGCATCATTCAGGCTCTCCTTGGCTTCCCTGCCCAGGGTGGCTCGACCCCACCCGGCGGGCCCACCACGCGCTCCCGAGGGGCTCCCCGCACCCGCTCAGGCCGGCGTCGGCCTCTGCCTGCAGCTGGTTCCGTGTCCCCGCCTCGGCTCACCAACCCCGGCTCGTCCGCCAAACTCCCCTCGCCTTCTGAGAAAAGCGAGAGCTGCCTGGATTGTACATCTCCTCGCCTCAGTCTTCCCTCTCCCCGCTGTTCTCCTCGGAGACACACCCGTGAGAAAACATGCACGAAGATGATAAGAAACAGCTCAACACGCCCTGGAAACAGTGCGGGATTTTTCTGGGTCAAACACATCGAATTCCCTAGGAAAACGCAGGAAGGATGAGTCTCCCACCTATCCCCTTCCGGACCGAGGGCTCACACAGATGCAGTTCCAACAGAAAGGCAATACTTTGTCCCAGGAGGTCATCTGCCTCCTTGACATCCCCCCCGCCCCCCGCCCAGCCAAGTCCTCAATAGAACAAAACCGTTCCTCGAAAAGAGACTTTCGAAACCCCAGATTTCGGCCCAGCCCTGGGAGACTTAAAAGACCATTTTCCACCATCATTCTGCACCTAGTCACGGAAGCGATGCCAGCCACTCAGATTCATAGGGTTCTTAAAATGGTAATTTGGAGTAAAATGTAACTCAGAGAACTTTGAATCATTCATTAGCACCTTATAATTACTCTGCTAATTAGGTTGACACGGCACTTAATCAGGAGTAATACGCCGTCTTGTCACTGGCACTTCCCATTACTCTGACATTCAACAAGAGACAGGTTGGAGACGTCCTAGAGAAAATAATGCAAGTTGATACCCTCCGACGAGGCGTCACAGTCAAGCCACGTTCCAGGTCCCAAGTGGATCCACAGCGACTGTTTCCTTTCCAAAAGAGCGGCCGGAGAGGGCGAGGGAGGGAGGGAGGGGGAGAGAGAGAGAGAGAGGGAGAGAGAGAGAGGAGAAGAGAGAGAGAGAAGTTGAGAGGTTGAGATCTGGCTGGGGGCAAGGAGGGAGCACGCACTGCTGACCCGCCACTCGGGTTCCGGAGCCTCATGCCAGCCTGACACCACAGTGAACCGTAGCTGCCCTCGGCGCTAGAGAACACCTCGGGCCATTATTTCCCCCGCTCGGGAGAACGTGTCTGGCCAGGCATTTCTTCCAGCACGGGCCCTGATTGGAGACCAGGCTGGGACCCGGGTTTTGAGCAGCAGGCCTCTTGTCCTCCACCCCTTCCGAGAGTGCCGGGTGGACGCGGATCCCGCTCCATTTCCCCCTCAGGTACCCGCCGCCCAGCGGGGCCAGAGCCGGGACGCCCGGGCTCCCTGGGGAAAAATCAGAGCTCGGAGTCTGCCCACCCACCCAGAGCTCCGGTTGCTGGAGTTACACACTTTCCTGTGGGTTCCTTCAGGGAGTCCCTTCCTCTGTTCTCAGTGTCCTTGGACTATTCAAGCGCGTGTCTGGGGAGGTGCGTGGCGGCAGCGCTGGCGTCTAAAGGTAAGCCGACCAGATTCCTTTTCCCTTCCTGTCCTCTTTCCCCTCCCTCTTCGGACTTCTTAATGGGCAAAGCGTTACTACTTTCTCATTCTTTTCTTTTTTTCCTTTTCTTTCTGTTTTTCTAAAAGCTCCTCTGGTTCCCTTCTATAGTCTCCCTGTGCTCTCTTCCCCTCTCTCCCTTTGCCCTCGCGCGTGATTGTGGACGCCGGGACCACAGTACGACTAGTTGTTTGGCTTTCGGTTGCAAGCAAAGGGACGTGCGGGTTCTGAAAAGAGCAGCGGGGCCCGAGCTGCGACCGCTGACGGGCTCGCGAGCCGAGCACCCATTGGCTCCCGGTACGTCGGCGTCGCTCGCTCGCGCGGGCGCGGCCAATGGGGGCGCGAGGACCTGCGCGCGGCCTCGGCGGCGGGGGCGCGGGCCGGGCGCGGCGCGTGGAGCGGCGGCAGTGGCCGTGACGTCATGGGAGGGGGTCGGCGCCGCCCGCTAGCCGCCGGATTACAAGCGAATGCGCCCGGCAGCGGCTGGAGTTGCTCGGCGCCGCGACTCCGCCACCTCATCCGCCTGTGCCTGCTCCTTCTTTTCCTCCTCCTCCTCCTGTTGCCGCGACCACTGCGGCAGTGTCTGCTCCACAACTTTCCAAGAAAGTTCAGAAACTCGGCACCGGGGCGTCCGAGTCGCGCGCGGCCAACACCTCGGAGAGCCGCTGGGCAGCTCCGAGGGCGCGCGGCTGCCCGGGCTTCGCGGTCGCTGCACCTGCCACGTCCGCCGCCGCCGCTGCCGCCTGGTGCCAGGCTGTGGGCAGACCCTGGCGGCGGCAGCAGCGGCGGCGGCGTCGGGGTCACCTCCTGCTGCCTGCACCTCCGTCTGGCTCTCCTGCGCAGCCACCGCCGCGCCACGTGCGCGATCGTTCCTGGAGCGCACGCTCGGTGCTTCCTCAACAATTTTTGTAACTTTCCCCCCCATCTTCCTTTCCCCAAAACTCCTACTTTTTGCATTAGGGTAAAAAAAAAAAAAAGTGTCGCAAGTGTCCACGGATTGCCACCTCCCAATTTTCCTTCCTTCCCCGCCCCACTTTTTTTGTTTGTTTGTGTTTTAAGCGGCGACAACATTGTTTCGTGTCATTCTGCTTTACGATCGATAGCTTCCTTTGCTTGGTCGGGGCGGCAGCGGAGCGGCGGAGTGGCGTGGACCTCATGTAGAAATGACAACAATGGAAGGGGCCAGCGGGTCGAGTTTTGGAATAGACACGATTTTGTCCAGTGCCAGTTCGGGCAGCCCCGGCTTGATGAATGGAGATTTCCGCCCGCTCGGCGAGGCCAGGACCGCGGATTTTAGGAGTCAGGCCACTCCGTCTCCCTGTTCGGAGATTGATACTGTAGGAACGGCGCCTTCCTCTCCTATCTCGGTCGCCATGGAGCCCCCGGAACCGCATGTGATAGCGGACGGCCCCCAGCATCACCACCACCTCCACCACAGCCAACAGCCGCCGCCGCCGCCGCCGCCAGCCGCGGCCCCCACGCAAAGTTTGCAGCCTTCGCCGCAACCGCCGCCGCCGCAGCCACCCGCCCAGCAGCTGGGCTCGGCCGCCTCGGTCCCCAGGACTTCCACCTCTTCTTTTTTAATTAAGGACATCTTGGGCGACAGCAAACCTCTGGCGGCGTGTGCACCGTACAGCACCAGCGTCTCCTCTCCCCACCACACCCCGAAGCAGGAGAGCAACGCAGCACACGAGAGCTTCAGGCCAAAGCTCGAGCAGGAGGACAGCAAAACCAAACTCGACAAGCGGGAAGAGTCCCAGAGCGACATCAAATGCCACGGTGAGTCGCGCCGCCTTGGCTCCCTCAGCCGTCTAGCTTCTCCTCCTCTTGCTTCCCTGTCTCCCCTTCTGTCTCCCGCGAATCTCTGCTGGGATTCGAAGGCGATTCTCAGCTTCTAAGGCGATAGCGCCACGGTCAAAAACTGCAAGCGGGAGGGAGGCCTGGGCGTGCGATTTGGAGACTCGTCCCAAGTTCTGATTATTGTTACATTTCTACCTCCCAACCCTCACCGCCATCCAGCTCCTTTCTTTGTTTTACTTCATTTTAATTTATTAGGAAGGGGGCAGAGGCGGAGGGTATCTGACGGGAAATACTTTAGTGTTTCGTAGTGCCTAGGGGTGTGATCACAACGTGGTGCTTATTATTTAATGCAAATCATTCCATTCTTCCTACACACCGTATTTTCTGAACACTGGAACGGGAATTATCAGATCTAGCGAAGGGAAAAATTCCGAAGCGATTAACAGGGAAACTTTTTTAAAAAAATTATTAGATCGTGATTAATATAGGGAAGGCCACACGGTAAAAAATTATAGAGTTCCAATTAAAAAAAATAATCTTCCTACCCCATGGCACTAACTGAATATCTGTATTTCAGTAAGAGTTTTGGCCCCTTACAAGTAAATTGGGAGGTAGCATTTATGAAAGTAAAATTTTATGGAATTGGATATCTATTTTTGTAAAATCAAAAGATGGCAATGGAATTGTCCTTCAACTCCCTTTTCCCACCTTCTCCCCAGAGAATTTCATAAGTGTTCTGGTCTTTGCATAGCAAAAGAGTTTTAACATATGAGGAGAGTTCTCTTTTTTCCCTTTACTGATAAGCTTATTATTATTATTAATCTTTGTCCTCTCTGGGAAAGGTGTGTGCCGACTGTCTGGAAGGTAGGATATTGCCTCTTCATTTTACTATTGTATCATTAGCATAATAGTGCCCAAAACAGATGTACAGTCTGGTCTGGCGATTTTTTGTGCACCAACCTCCCCAGTGGGTCAATTAGAGAGATTATGGTTCTTCCTGCAGGGAAGATCAAGGAGCGCAGCAAAAACGGGTACAAACAGAGGGATTGACATATCGATTTCCCAACATTTCAGTAAAAAACCAAAGTTGACAAATAGAATCCGGAAATCTCTGGGCTGTCACCTGGATGGGCTCAGTGATTTTGAGCTGAACGCAGTGTCTGGGAGACATTCTTTCTGAAGCTTTAAGAGACCTGATGCAAGCAGCTGCAGAGAGCTTGATCCAACATTTCCCAAGTGCATCTGAAAAAAGGAAAACAAATGCCTATAACTTTTAGTAAACAGGAGAAGTAAAATGAAAAAAGTGCCCCCTTCTCAAAAATAAAAAAAAAGTTGAAAGACCTTTTAAAAACTAACACATAAGAAAATATGAAGTCAGGGTGAAAACAGTAATGGAAAGGGACAGGGTCTCCCCCCAGGCAAGGAAACTATTAAGAAAAGGACCCTTTATCATAAAGTATTTTTTTTTTTTCATTTTCGTTTCCAAAGACGGGAAGATCCAGCACTCTTTTGGAACCCTCTTAGGAGCTCTGCAGAAGGCTCCACACTCCCTAGTCAGTAGTTGGTCCTCTTCCTCCATACTGGCTAAGGTCCAAGTATGTTTATAAGGAAGATGACAGAGTATGGTTCCCCCACCCCCAGACCAGCAGCTGGCTTGGGAATGTGGAAGTGTGTGCCAGGAGGACACTCCATCCTTCCCCATTCCAGTCTACCTTACGGCCGTGTCTGGGTTTCTATGTAGGAACAAAGGAGGAAGGAGACCGGGAGATTACCAGTAGCCGAGAGAGTCCCCCTGTGAGAGCCAAAAAACCTCGCAAAGCCAGGACAGCTTTCTCCGACCACCAACTCAATCAACTGGAGCGTAGCTTTGAGCGACAGAAGTACCTGAGTGTGCAGGACCGCATGGACCTGGCAGCTGCGCTCAATCTCACTGACACCCAGGTCAAGACCTGGTACCAGAACCGCAGGTAAGGGAGGCTATGTGGGAGAGCAAAGGCGTCTGGCCATCCAGGTCAAGATTACTACACCAATCTTCTTCCCTCCTGGCCTCGGAGACCCTAAGGACTCAGAGGGCCCTGAGCTGGCAGTCGGGGGCTTTCTGGCTGGAGGAGGGATTAGCCACACCTCCAAGGTGAAAGGGATCGTTGGGTAGCTGGAGTTTGGAGAATTTTGCACTTCTAAGTGTCCTTAACATATGCTAGTTTCTCCCTCAAACCTGAGTGGCTGAAATTTACCCCATTTTGCCCCCAAATCAATCAAGCCACACCTTTTCAAACTGTGACATCGGTGTAGGAGACACTCAGGCCCATAAAACCTGTGCATTGCACCATTTTGGGCCTGCCCCAGGATGGTTCCAAATATCTATAGCCGGTCACACAGTCTGGCTGTATCCATCCTGGAAGAGCTGACCCACTGGCCTCAGCTTAAAAGTCCTTGCTTTTCCTGTGAGGCAGTTGGGAGAGGTAGAGTTGGCAGCCGGTCAGGCATCTAGACTGAGGGTCTGTCCCCTATTCTGGCCACCTCAGAGCCCTCCAGGAACCACGGCTTCCCTTGAAAGGAAATTAGGAAAGGGGCTGACAGTACTTGTAGGCCCCTGAACTGCAGTGTGAACCCAACCTGTGCAGTCTGGGGCCGAGGTTATGCCGAGTTTCCAAGCCTGACGGTTGTCTCCCTTGTCTCGATTTTCTCTCCCCCTCCTTTTCTCTCATTTGTGTTCTAATCGTCCATAAGTGTGGTTGGAAATGCCCATCCAGTTGTCATCTTTACCGTAATTTTCTGTCTCATTACATACGGTTTCAGCCACCCTAATTCTGTCGGAAAACATTAGTGTCATTTGTAGCCAATTTAAAATGGGCGACATGTTTATTAATTTGGCTGGAGCTGCCTGGTGTGGAGGGCCCACCAGCCCTGCGTTCCGAAGGAGGCATCTGAGCAGAGGCCTGCTGCCTCTTCTTCTAGTGGGGTGCGGTGGGGGAGGGAGGAGACCGAGAAGAGCTGATCACAGGTTTTGATTGTTACTCTCTCTCAGAGGAGAAAAGATCCTGAAATGCATTTTTCCCCTCCTGGAATGGCCCCGAGGTACTGTCCCCATGGGAGAGTCCTCCCTCAAACGAATTCCGTTTTGAAACCCTTGTTTCCTGGCTCATAACCCGCCCCCCCCAACACCTGCCGTAAGGTCCTGTCAGGCTGGTGAGAGAGCTGTGTCTCCACAGCCCTGGGGACCAAGAGGGCCAGGGGTCCAAGGCCCAGGAGTCTCTGTGTCCCTTTGTTTACGGTTTCTTCTCACTCAGCCTGGAGGAAAGGGGGAGGGGCAGAGAGCAGACACTCTGGGATTGCTGGGCAGCCACTTGGGGAAGGAAATTAGAGGAGGAGGGAGAAGACTGCCTATAGAAAGAGTAGTCTCCGTTGGCCTCCAGGAAAGTTTCAGGCAGTAGCCAAACAATAAGGGGGGGGGGGCAACGTCAGAGGAAAAAGTCAGGAAAAGGTAGCAAAGATTGGAGAATTTTATTTATGAATGTCTCAGACATTGATGGCATCGTTTGGGAAACCGACTTGGATTTGGGTGATTCTGGGAGGGAGAGGGTGGGATAGGGGGCAAGGAGGTGTGCTTCACTCCTGGTTCTCAGTGCTCTCTAAGTCTTCCTGTGTTCCCCGAGGAAGAGAAGGCAGGTGAGGGGGGAGAATGGGCCTTGGTGCCTGGGCACTGCCCACAGCTGCAGGGTGCACGCACGCCTGCTTTTATTTCAGGACCAAGTGGAAGCGGCAGACTGCGGTGGGCCTGGAGCTGCTGGCCGAGGCAGGGAATTACTCGGCACTGCAGAGGATGTTTCCGTCGCCTTATTTCTACCACCCAAGCTTGCTGGGCAGCATGGACAGTACTACCGCCGCGGCGGCCGCCGCCGCCATGTACAGCAGCATGTACCGGACTCCTCCTGCACCCCATCCCCAGCTGCAGCGGCCCCTGGTGCCCCGAGTGCTCATCCACGGCCTGGGGCCTGGGGGACAGCCGGCCCTCAATCCCCTGTCCAACCCCATCCCAGGCACCCCGCATCCCCGGTGAAGAGCAAGTCACTGTCCCTCCCTGTCCCCTCCCCGACCCGGACAGCTGCCCCTCCTCTCCCGGCACCAGGCTGTCCGGCCTCCCTTGCAGCCAACCGGGAAGCAAAGAAGTAAGAGAGGAAGACACTCACCAGCGGGTGGAGGGGGGGCCCTCCACTCTCCATCTCCCCACCCCCAGAGACAGGGCTGGAAAGCTCCCGCACAGGAGTGTGACTGGCGAAAACGCCGACTCCACACAAAGTGCGACCAGTAAGTGAAAACATCAACAAAAACAAAACCTCAAGTTCTTTTTAAAAAATGACTTTAGGGACAGGCAGGAGGGAGGGAGGGGGGTGGGGTAAGGAGGGAAGAAAGAAGGGCACGGAGAGGAAACCACACAGGCAGAGAGAATTGTAGATGAACAGCCTCAAATTCCGAGGCAGAGGGCGTTGCCGTGGACATTCCGACTGCCCCAGAGAAAAGAGGAGGGTAACTGAGAACTTTGCACTGATTTCTCATGACCTTTTTTCTTTTGGAAAAGTGGCATGCTCCATAATATGAAAAAAAAAATGTACATTGGAAAGACTGAGTGATAAGTGATATATCATATTTATTATATGTTGTCCAAAAAAGTCACTTATATACATTAGTAAAACATGATTTTTCTTTTCATGTCTTTTTGATTCAGTAAAATAAATGCTTAGACAAAAATATAGATTTTTTTGTGATTGAAAATTACAGAAATAAAGTTTATCTTTTTTTAACAAGCGATGAAATCCAAGGGAGCTGATTTTACTGAAGCAGAATGTACTATGATGAAATGTGTCACTTGGTTTAGGAAAACAAAATCCCTTCTGGAATATTAGGAATTTACAAAATCTGTAAAGACGTTGGGCTGACTTGTATAAAAACAGCTCCATTTTTCACGGTGGCCTCTTCCGAGCCGTTATTCGATATGTGTGAACTTCTTTCTTTTTAAGTGGATGATTTCAGAGCAGTTTGTGAGGCGCTTGTCGGCTGTTGGTGCTTGCCAAGTAGGCGGCCAACTTTCCCTGCTGTCCCGGCCTGCCTGACAGCCCCAGCCGAACCGGGTCTGTCCACCCCTCCTCCTTCTCCTAGGGCTCCTCCTGGGGCGATGAGGGTCCAGAGCGCTGGGCAGCGGAGACGCCGGCAGGGGCTGGGCTGCGGGCGGGCGGGCGGACATGCGGGCCTCGCAGCTGTTCTGCAGCCCACGGCCGGGCGCCCGCGCGGCAGGACAGCCTGCAAGCAGGAGGCTGCAGGGCGCGCAATTAGGGCGCCCGGGGGGTCTCGAGAGGCCTAGCTAACAAACCCTGGTCGTGCTTTGATCCTGGTCTTCTCATTCCCTAGCGGGCATCCAACCCCTAGCCCCGAGCCGAGTCTCTTGTCCTAGTGAGTTGGCTGTGCTGGGATGTCTGGAGCGGAGTGCAACTCTGGCCGAGACAGGTGTGCCAGGCTTTTTATCCGCGTCCCTGGATCTTTTGAGACTGCAAAATGAGAGGCCCTGCCCAGAGGGTAGTGAAGGCCGGCTCCCTGCTTTGGGAGTGTGTGTGTGTGTGTGTGTGTGTGTGTGTGAGTGTGTGTGTGAGAATGAGTGTGTACGTATTCGTAGCACCTAGGCCAGAGCCGCACCTCAGCCGCAGGCCCCCCTCCCCCACTAGCTCCCAAGAGGCTCAGCACTCCCGACTAGTGAGGAAGAACTGGGGGGGGGGTGTACATTTCCGGGGCTTCTCCCACCTTCCCCAGCCCCAAGGTCACTTCTCGAGTAGTCAGAGAGTTGGATCCCGGTCTGGGTTTCCTTACATCTCTATCTTCACTTCTGCCCTAGTACATAGTCAAAGGAGTAAGACCTGCAGCTAAAACACATCCAGACCCATTTTCCAACTTTCTTTGGTGGTTGAATCTTAGTAGAGTTATAAAAACATTTTTAAAAATGTGGAGTGCTGTGGGAGTGTGTGTTGGAGAGGAGAGGGAAGGAAGAAGGAAAGAAAGGTGAAATCCAGGAGGAAATTGCCTCCCTCCACCTTGATCAGACCTGGGCTAATCAGGGAGTGGTTTCCAGCTCATCAATTTGCTTTAAAAGTGGTCTTGGTCTTGTTTGATTCTAACAAAAGTGTTTGGACTGGCCCTTCTCATTTTCTTCCTGCTGAGCTGGGACAAACTCAAACAGCTGGGCTGGGCTGGAAGCTGGGTGCCACTGTGTCCGGTGGGAATGCCCATTGCCTGGGTACTCAGCAGACTCTCCTTGTTCTGTCTTAGCTGCTGTTGGGTTTTACAGTCACGCTTAAATAGTTCACAAATGGTCAGCCTGGGCCTAAAAAGGCACTTTCCAAGGCTTGGGGGTGCTACAGTTTCTCGATGTACTGGCCCCAGGGCTGGTCATCTTCGGGGGGAAAAAGGGGGACCTGGGAATTCACTGGAGCTCACACATTCTAAGTTCCCTACAAAGAATGACCTCAAGTCCAGTTGGGAAACGCACATAAACAAACCTTCAAATACAAACCAGGCCACAGCACCCATCTGCTACCAGCAGCCCGCCAGCAGCCTGCCAGCCACTCTGCTGAGGAGCCTGCCAGCTACCCCTTCACTCTCAAGGCCAAACTTGGACTCCATAGGTGGACAATGAAGGGGGAAGCACTATGTCTACAGAGACCAAGGTTTCCTAATTAACCTCGTATTCCACTGCTGCTAGCAATTAGGTTTGATCCACCCGAGTCCTCCGAAATGTGCTTTCGCTTCAAAGTCATGTTTTCTTTCACCCCCTAAACCATCCAGCTGACAGTGTCAATTCCCCTTCTACATTTGTGTTGTTTACTTCCTGTTGCACAGAAGTTGGCGAAAGGAGTGTGTGTGTGTGTGTGTGTGTGTGTGTGTGTGTGTGTGGCGGGACTGTTGTTCCAGGAAGAAAGTTGAGTGCTGGATTCCTTCTTTTCATTCTTTTCTTTCTGCAGCAGTACCACCTCAGCAGGTGCCCTTCTATTCAAACATCCCCAAACTTATTGCTTACAAGTCAAATGCAAACATAGTCCTTTCCCTCAAAAGGGGTCCTTCAGTCCGTGCCTGCCCAAGAAAGTAGCAGTGTTGGCTAAAAGGTGAGGAGTGCAACACCAAGTTTTCCAAAAAGCAAGGAACGGGATAATAGACAAAGGTCTTTTCACAAGGGAGATCCAGAGTTAGTTATGGAGGCTCAGAGGTCTGTTGGCCCTGGGAGCTGCACTTCTTTTCTTTTCCCCACCTTCAGCTGGTGTTGGAAGGGCACTCCACGGCTAACTCCATTTGGATCTCTCCTTTGATTAAGCTGGGGACTGGCAAAACAGGGATTTTCGGGGGGCATTCTTTGCTTGCTACAGAAACACAGGAGAACAAACTTGTTTCAGGGATGTTTAGACACTCACAAAGGCCCCTTACATTTGCTCTCCTCAAGATCAGCTCTGCGACTCCAGCAAACCTAGCACAAATCTGTAGTGAGTATGGAGTAAGAAGTTAACTCCCCAACTAGCAGCCAGGTGTTCTAGCCCAAGCCAGCAATTTTCAATGAGTTGCAAAGTTATGATTGTGGCTTGCTTCCATGCCTCCAGCAAATATATCTACCGCCTTGTAACAGTTTAGTTTTGCTCCCCCTGCCCTTAAAATGAAAGTCCACATGATGGCAAATTAGACAGCTGATTTCCTCTGTTGCAAATAAAACCGTTTACCCTCAAACCAAGACTTCCGTCCTCCTCCCTCCCTGCCATCTGACTCCTGCCTAGGCGGCCCTTCCCCAGGAGTCTGCCAAATCCCACCTCCCCTCTTTGTGAGTGGTTTGTTTTGTTATATTTTTAACTTTCTAAAAATATTTGGAAAAGCTCTCCCCAGGGCTAGGGAAACTTTAGTCCCTATTAAGCCACGTGGTTACAAGAATATACTAGAAGAGAACTGCTTAGTTTTCTAAAAAGCCAGGCATGACTTGAAGTCAACACGCTTGGGAAGAGACTGACTTTTCACTACTGGTGGGCATGATCAGGGGCAGGACTGAGCCTCCTAGGGAACTGATGTTTCCTCCTCAGCATTGAATTCTTGGTGTGGGAAAGTTGGTTTGTCGGGTGTCTTGGCTGTTGGCTAGAAAATTAGGCAGAAGGGCGAGCGGGGGCTTCTCCAGGGTTTACTCCATGAACCCTGGAACAGCGCCTCTAGACTTTTTGAGTCTCCCACTAGGTCTTTGTTCAGTCCCCGCTTCTTGGCCAGTTCCAGCCTTCCTCTCTACCCATGCCTCTTTCCCTGAAGTTGGGGCCTGTGTGCCCCTCCCTTCTTCTGGCAGGTTGAACACCCCCAGGGTTTAGTAGGGCTAAGTGTGTGGGATAAGGGTTGTGTGCATTCAGAGAGAGGGAGGTATCACTGGCCTTTCGCATTGGAAAATCAGGTCAGCTGTCTCAGGGAGATGAGATGACCCAGAAGGGACTTTTTTCCTCGCCTTCTTCCGGCTGAATTTTGAAGGCCTCTGTCAGTCTGAGTGTTGCTGAGTGGACGGTCTCAGCCAACCTCGCATTGTCAGTTTCTCTGCTCTCTGCCTCTCCTTTTGTCTCCCCTCGGGCCTCCCTCTCCCGTTTCTCTCTCCTAGCACCACAGACAGCTCCCAGGGCGCGCTGGGGAGCGGAGTCCCAGAGGCTGGAGGGTTCCCTGCAAAGCCTAGGCGACCGCAGGGGGCGCACCGGGGAAGGGTCGGCGGCGCCCGCGGGGGAGTTCCGCGAAGTGATTACAAAGCGCCCTCCCCGGCGGCGCTTCCTGATTAGCTCTAAGTCCAAACAGGGTCACATTCCAAAGAACAAAATCTTCAATCAATAAAGTAATTCAAAAACCAAAAGATCTCGGGGTAAGTAGTGCTCAGTGACAGATCAACTCTAAACCGTCCCTATTTAATAAGTTCTTAGTGGAAGCCGACTGGGAAGGAGAGGGGCCTCCGTTCTGCTGCTTCGAAGCCCTTGCGTCGCGGCCGCAGCGAAATCGCCAGAGGAACCGCTCTCAATGGCATTTTTTACTTTCTCCGCTCGCGCAGCTCCGACCCTGCTCTGCGAACCGCCGCCTCGGCCGATGGAAGCCCAGGAGAAGCGCTCCCGAGACGGCCGCCCTGCAGGTTGGGTTGAGCCGAGGCCCTGATCTCCACTGCTTTTTCCACCTCTCGTCTCCTCTCCGCCGGTTTGGGACTCTCCCAGCTCCCGCTACGATCTGGTCCAGGACCCGCAGGAGCTCCACTGAAAAAGGAGGATCTTCGCGAGCCCGAGATTGAAC